GCACCACAGCAGGGTTTATTGTGGGTGCTCAGGCTGCTGAGGACAGGGCAGCCAGGATGAACCCACCTGGGATGCTGGCACTGGGCTGCTCTTGCTCCCAAGCTGCCTTATTTTAAAGGCAGCCCAGCTGAACACCACCACTACCCACCTCCGGGATGAAGGAACTGAAAAATAAATGCTTCATTTTTTTTTCTCCCCCCAAAGCTGCATCTTTAGCCCCAGCTGCAGCTCTCCGCGCAGCAACGGGAAGCAGGTAAATGATCAAATTCTTGATCAAAAACTCACTGGTGGAAAAAAAGCAGGGAAGGAGCAGGTCAAGCTCTCGAGAACGGCCCTTTCACCCTTGGAGCACTACAGAAATGAAGTAGGCTGGTGCCTTCTGAGGGCCGAGCAAACAATGAGCACCCCGCGGGAAGAGCAGGAGGCCGTCGCAGCCCTTCAAATGTTATTTCGGCACATGGGCCTGTGGCTGCAGCTGCGTTCTGGAGCATTGCTCCCATGGCTGGGGCGAAGCGGGGCAGCAGGAGCCTGCAGGGTCCGGGCTTGCGCCGGCAGCTCGGTAATGGGGAGAGGAAAGGGCTGCTGCAGAAGGGGAAACAGGAAGGACTGAGTGTTAAAAATACTGCGGCCGCGGGCTGCGAGATACCCCTGCCGGGGCCGGACACTGCGACGGTGCCGTTCGGAAAGCGGGCAGAGCAATGCAGGGGCGTGCGGGGGTTGCTTACTCACTCTGACCATTTTTAAGATTTTAGAGGTGTTTCTGTTCGGCATTGGGGTCCAACCAAGACCTTCCCATGTTGTTTAGAAAAAAAAAAAGAAACTGAAAAAGAGCGGGTGAGATCAACTGGCCCAGCACAGCTGCGGTTGTAACGGGAAAGCAGGGCCCAGTGCCAAAACCGGCAGAGACGAGACCTGGCCTCAGTCTCTGGCATTCCAGGGGAGAGCCAAAATTCCTGCCCTGAACCAGGACAGAGATACGGGTCTTTCTTTTTGAAGACATACACAGACATGCACGCAAAAGCCACGCACACCGGCTCTGAGAACGCCTCCCCGGGGGAACCCTCAGCAAAACTGCCCCATTCCCACAAGGTCTGAGGCTCCACAGACGAGCATTTGATGATGGGCAAGACAAGAAGAAAAAAGGCAGAACAAAATAGCTTGCTGTGAGTTTTCTCATCCCCCGCCCGGATCTACACGGCTTGTGTTTCACACTGGGCAGGATTCAGAGGCTCAGGCTGGAGCAGGGGAAGGGGTGGGCTGGCACGCAGCTCCAGCCTTGCTGTTCCCTCCTGCTCTCCACCCGCTCGCCTACTGCCTACCTGCGCTACGGCCACGGAGCAGTCCTACCCAGGCCCACCTCCGGTCCCTAAGACATCTCTCCCTCACAATCAACTCCACAAACTGATCTGAAAACATTTCCCTCTGTCCCTGCTTTCCCCATCTAGAAGATCTAAGGTATGGCCTAAAAACTCATCCCGCTGTCTGAAGAAGGCAGGGCACGGCTCCTCTCTCACTGATCACAGCACAAGCCAGCTCAAGCAGCTGGATCGGCCCAGGCAGAGCATCTAACAACCCTAAATGCAAATGCAAAAGCCATTTCAAAGGGCAGGAAAAGCCCCAGGAAACTCAACACTTAAGAACTTGGTGGGGGGGAGGGTTGTTTGTTTGTGTTTTTTAAATCAAAAGCTCTTTATCCTACCTGGTCCCATAACGCTGCAGCCACTTGGTCTATTACTGCGCCCAGTTCTCTGTACTCCCCAGAGTATCTGATATATGCCCAGGTACACAGTGTGATAAGTGTCAAGCCCATGATCATGTTGCACAGACTGGCTATGATGTCCAAGCCAATGAAGCCGGTCACTCCAGCTATCACGTAGGTGATGAAGATGACCACAAAGAGCGTGGCGGGGGTGCGGGCGGCGTGAAAGATGTTCTTGCTGTCGTTGTGCTTGATGTACTGGATGTAGAGCTCATCTATCTCGTTCTCCAGCTGCTGGAGGTACCGACGGCTGAACTCCTCCCCACCCATCTTCTTCACCCCGCGAAACAGCTTCACAGCCTCCTCCTTCAGCTCCATGTGTTTGGTCTGGAGGTCACTAGGTGCAAGGAAGGGCTTGTCCCCACCGCAGACCTGCGTGGAAAACACAGTCCCATCACTTCAGAAACCTCAGCACCCACAGCTCCTGTGCCGTGCCAACCCGCTCTACAGACTCCTGTTTGGCACGGACCACTAGATCCTGCAGGAAGACCTCCACGACTGTGCTGTCCATCTGGGACAGCTCTGCAAGGTGCCTGCACTGGGAAGCTGTGTCCCACAGCTCCCCTACTCAGTTTTCTCACAGCCCAAGCCAGCATCTCGGGCAACGCTGATGGCTGAGCACCCTGAACCCCAGCATTTTCTAGTGCTGGAAACTCTGTGGCATTTTCCTTCTCCTTCAGAGTATGGACACGCTACTTTTAAGGCCCAGGGCAGTCCACCGGAGGTTTGGGCATGCAGCTCCACACCCCGTTCCTGCCAAGGCAGCGATCTCCAAAACTGGTGAAGAGAGTGGGGGTCTGGAAGTGGCTGGAGACAGGCTGGGGTCTGAGCTTCACCTTAAAACATCAGAACCATCCCCTCACCAGAGCAGAGAGGTGGGTTGACAGGGCAGGGCATATAGGTGAAAACCCAGTTATAATGACCTTCTCCCCTAATTAGCACCAGCCATAGCACGGGCTGCATGGTCACGCAGCACTACATCACATTTTTGGGTTGCATCTACCCACGCTGGGGAACACCAGGAAGAGGGTGCAAATTCAGCAGAGGCCACATGGTCTGCAAAAAGCTGCCATCATCAGATGAAATGGTGACCATTTGTCAACCACCCTGCCCTGCCATGATGCCCTGACCGGGCATTGCTCCTTTCCAGCCTCCGAGAAAGACCCTTTTCCACCATCAACACAGGAGAGATTTTCTTTGGGCTCCTGAACATGCAGCACTGTAACCACTCCTGGCCAAGTCCGTGCAGGACGTTTTCTACCAGGAACCCAGGCAGGGAGGTTTCCCCACGAGGACAGGAGAGCCAGGAGACGTGAGCTCTGTGAAAGGACATGCTCAGCACCACCTACCTCTTCCATTCTCCTGCTGTAGGTGTCTTTGGCAGTGGCAACTGCTGCTAAATTGTTGGCTTCTGCTGTGGCCTGCAAGAAGGGCAAAAGGGGTACAGACTTCAGCTGCAGAAAGACGGGGTTAAGAAGCATAATTGCAGAGAGTAGAAGCCACCGGCTGCCTGGGTACCCATGGTCCACACGTGTAAGTGGCCAGGACATGTGCACGGTACCCTGGTGCACACGTACAGAATTAAACAGCTCCCTCTTCTTAGCCAAGCGTGCTCTCCCCAGCCTCTGACCAATGCCAAATAAGATCATCCCGTATTTACACACCCAGCCTCCTCAGTTCCCCCCAGGCAAAAGCCTGCATCAGGAGAGGATTCCTACCCTCCAAGCCAGAGCAATGAAAACTTTGGCTTTGGCTGTGGGAAACAGCAAGAAAACAGATAAAAGGCTCAGTCATATGTAAACAGCTACAGCTGCAACCTCCCACAACGCTGTCTGGCTCAGAGAGCAGAGCTGCAGCCCAGCAGCGGCCGCGCACGTGCGGGGCCACGTCACCTCCGTGTGAGCGCCGCAGCCAGAGACGATGCTATTTACCTGCGGGGGAATAATTCCAGCTAAGCTGGCTGACGCTGTGTGCACAGACAGCGAGTCACCGCACTGCAGCTGAGGTGCACGAGCCATGCTGCCGCAATTGCTAAGACATATTAGACTCGTGACTGCCAAATACTTCCAAAAGGGCTGCTTCTTGGGTTGTTACGCTAAGGCATTTGAAATAACATCGCAGAAGACCCAGTGTGCTGCACTAGCTGGACACCTCTAACAATTAACTGGAAATCAACGGCAATTACAGCGCGTGAATGCGCACCAGGTCACAGCGCTCACGTACCTGCAGCATTGACTTTGGGTGTGGCAACTCTTCCCCTTGGTAGATCTTTATGTACGCCTGCAAAACAGTGCACAGAAAATCAAATCACATTGGATATGGCATTCATGAGCAACATGCGAACACCCCCACCCAGTTCCAGTCACAGCTTTAACAGGAGTTAAAAGCACAGAAGAGAAGGACGTTCCTGGCACAAGATGGCTTCAGCAGGGGATGCTCTGTCAGAAAACGCTACGTAGCATGGCTCGAGCTCGACTCCTTGGGTGGCCTGGGTCAGTCACTCAAGGCTGTCGCTCCACCACTTACGCTAAATATCTCTACCATTGCATTTGCGCCTACCTCCATCCTTCAGTAAAGGAGAAGGAGCCAGAGTCAGGTAGCCCGGGAGAGCAAGTGGTGAGAATTACTCACTGATGTCTTGCATTAAAATGTCCCAGTAGTCATGACAACAAAAATAAGCTTTTTCCAAAGGCAATGGGAATACGGCCCTCAGCCTACCTCCCCCTGGTCCTCAGTCCTCCAGGGGAGGAAAACAGCCCTGCCCACTTCTTGGGCTTACTGCGTGGTCAAATACGTGACCGTGAGGTGTTTGCTTTCTGCAGCAGTGAGAGTCAGGACTATTAGCTAGACCCAGAACACCTCCTCCAGCCATGAAGTGCTGGCCCGCCTGCTGCTGCCTTCCCTGTTAAGTAAAGCAAAGTGCAAGCGTGCCACAGATGAATAAGCCTACTTTCTCTTAAATAAGCCAATACCTTAAAATACTCCACAAGGCCTCGACAGGTGATATGGTTTCCATTGATCTCCTTAACGTCCAGGCTCTCGGGACTAAGAAGCCAAGGAATCAAAATCTTCAAGTTCTTGATGAACTCATCGTCTATTTCTGGAAACAAAACCCAATGTCATCCCTACCAGCCTTCAGTGTGCACTCACGTGAAACAAGAGCAGAAGAATCACGCCAGAGACTCAGACACCCTCTAATTTAGTGAAGTGAGCACTCAGAAATGATCGTGGCCTCAGTTAAGTTCTTACTTAACCCATGGACAGAATATACAGCTGTGCATATACCCTCACACCAACTTCATGGTCTCAAAAATACTTGTGCAAACACAAATGTGACTGCATGGGAAAAAATACCTGCTTTTGCTGAGGACTCCGGTAACGTGCACGCAACGCTGATAGCCAGAGAGCAGCACCTTCTTGCCTACACACATACATCTGTGATCTTCGCAAATCACGACCTTTAGTGTACAGGGCACAGACACATGCTGTGCCTTCCCTTTGCTCCGTGCCATGGCATTTCCATAGTGGAAATCTTCTGCCAGGGCTTCTGGCTCTCATCCCTGCCACCTCCTGTGCCAGCAGGTAAGGTTTTGTGCGCCAAGTTCTTGGTTCTCTATGAACCCGTATGTGAAATTCTCATTGCAAAGCATTTTAAAGCTTTTGCAAACCATCAGGCGCCTGGTACGGGTACACTAGGGACTCCTGTGAGCGACTGTGCATTTACATTGCACCACCAGACCCCCCCCGGTGCAGGTACCAGGAACGGGCACAATCTCTGCTCCGCTTTGCCAAAGCACAGAGCTTGCACAGGGCTCTGTTTGAGGGGTCCACGGGCTGCTTGTGTCACCTCAACAGAGGCAGACTCATCTCCTAACAGTCATTCTGATGGCTTCGTAGTGTCTGACTTCCATTTACTGCCATTTAAATTAAACTAAAGGCTGGAGACAGAAAAAACAATGCAATATCCAGGCATTTGGAAGGTAAGGAGAGAGGGGAAGTTTCCCCGTATTTCTTCCATCAGAGCACAAAATGCCAAGTACAGCTCTGAGGGAACAGGAAAATGGTGTCAAGAAGCTGCTGCCAACTCCTGTGCCCGTTCTGCACGCACCACTTGTTCAGTACTACTCAGCACCCGAAATTCAGGGGGGAACTAACAGAGATCAGCTCAGTTTCCACAAGCACGGCTCCCCACTGCTGCATCGCGGTCTGGCTTGCCGGCTAGCACGGAGTTTGCCAGAAGAACAAGTCATCACTAGGCCAGACAAAACCAGAGAAAAAGTAACATCCTTCTGTCTGCCAATTTATTTTGAGTGGCTAATGGGCCACTTTACTGCTGAGATTGCAGGCAGCCTGTACCCAGCAATGCTGGTAAGTCACTGGTTCACAACAAACAACCCAAAAAATCCACAGCATGTGGCTCCTTTGAGGGTGGAGAATCTTACCATGGCTTTTTTTTTCCTTCCCCCTTTTTTCT